CACCAACGCCCTCCCATGTTTGGCATTTGTTATGGGACCGCAGTCCGAATAACGCCTGTCATGTCCTCATATGGCCTCCGTGTTGGTCCAACGCATCGACAACACGATCCGTTTAGGGGACATTTAAATTGGTATACGCAGACTGTCTAGTCAGCAATTGCATAATGCGCTCTAGATTATGGCGAAGCAGAAGTTTCTGCATGGTACTTATCTGAGGGAAATATACTAGAACAAGGTTCTTTCGGTAGAAAGAGACTTCATAAGTTGAGTAGGGTCGTCGTGTTAAGAAAATTACGTTCCTATTGGAATTTCAAATGCATAAACTTAAATGAGTACTTTGAGACGATAATACAACAAATTTCTATGTTAAGAAGATTGACGCAGCCTTTGTAGAAATTAAATCTGCAATATGATTGAAAGGACTTCTTGGTCTAGTAATCAGCAAAAGCGACGATTGTCAAAATCCGAAGGGTCCAAGATTTTGCAGGACCTAGCTAAGTCCTGCTGAAGGTGACTGAGTGGGATGCTATTGGACAGGCGAAGTATCTTCTTAATACCAACAGGCTGCAAGAGCGCCCGGTAGTCCTAAATCACTAAGACATTTAATTTCCTCAGAGGTCGAAAATGGAGGTCAAATTCGAAACACGCGCGTTATTGGTATATTGGTTATTATTTATAGCATTTTCTTCACTTGTGGCCGCAAACAGCGACTGAATAAAACAATAGCATGTTATCTGAAACAGGGTAATGTTGCTCTCACGGAGCTGTACTTTTATCCCCCTTTCCACCTAATTGTCTAACTAAGACCTCTATCGGATATTCTATGCGTTTCGACAACACTGAGGTCTGTAACACACGCACTACCATCTAATATAAATCCAGGGAGTTTGTGGCTGCCACTTGCAAAGTGTGCATTGCAGTCAATCATCGAGTTGCCCTACATCTAAGGACACCACAGTGACCTTGCAGAGTTTATTGCTGCCAGTAATTTCACTAGAGCAGGCACCGGCTTGACTTTTAGGCAAATAATTATGACCCCCCGTTTGCTTATGATGCCCACGTCGCAGTGAATGCTCGCGCTGTCAGGTTTCTCGGTTTCGTGACTGAAGAATTAAATGCACCTGTCTGTACGGTATCTCCTTCCGCGCTTTGCATATAACCGGACTTGCGCATCGAGCCGCTGTGCGTTTGAAATTGCCCCAAGGGATACGAGTAACCAATCATCCAACGGTATTACCACTAGGCACAAGAAAGACTCGACTGCCCCCTCCTAGTGTATCCGCTCCAGTTTAAACCCGTTCCGACCTAAGATTTTAGTCCCTTTGCTGATGGTGGCAACAATGCCAGATTAGTCATTCCGGTCTCCCCTTAAATTACGCAATTACAGCTCCACGTTGGCACTGCTTCTACTCAAAAATTTCAGCTTACAGAGTCTGTTCTATTACTGTTTTTTTTCTCCCAACTATGCCAGCTTGATGTATGTAAATTACACCTCATAATGCGAATTTGTGTCCGCTTTTAAGAGGAGTAACCCATAAGCAGCGGTAGTCAGACGTATTACCAAAGTAACAGGCGATAAAACCCACATTGCATTGCATACTGTTACAAACGCAGTACCATCCGTTGGATGGTGCCACTGGCTCCTGGATTAGAACTCATCTGGTACTTGCGTTATAGCTCCAACCGGTGGCATTGATGTAGAGAATTCACAGTTCTCCCAAAACAACCTTCTATTGTTCTCCACCGTGCTTACATCCTCTGGGGCAATTTGTAGG